TAAAGTCGGGCACCACTCGGGAGAATTCAGAAATGCAACAGTTCGAACAGCCGCTTCCCTACGACTTTAAAGGAAAAGTCCAGTCAGTAAAGAGTAACCAATGGATCAATATTTATACTTAAAACATTATTTTAAGACATTATTTTTTAGCAGATTAATCATGTTTACAGAAACACAGTTTATAGTCTTTCTAGAAACGACACGCGCACCGATACAGCGTGTTGCTCTATGGGCTCCACGCATCGGGGTTAATGGACCCATCACTAGCGGCGGGTTCATCGCTGCCTTTCAGGAAGCTTATTGCAAAACGATTATAGGTTAAAAAACATATTATTGAAGATTCTTTGAAAACTAATTTCTCTGTTTGTCCTGAAAACCTAACTGCCGCTGTTCAGGTTTCGCCATCGGCTGGGGTCCCATCCCGTGGCTGATCATGTCGGAGGTCATTCCCATTAGAGTGAGGGGCTTCGCTGGAGCTGCTGTGGTGCTCAGCAACTGGGGGATGGCTTTCATAGTCACCAAATCCTTCCAGGACATGATGGTAGGTCTTTAAGGAGAAATCAGCCCCCCGCCACGCCATCAAGAGCGTCACTCATGCTGCTTCTCTCCCTGCAGAACCTCCTGACCAGCGCCGGGACCTTCTGGCTCTTCTCCTGCATGTGCTTCCTCAACATCATCTTCACCGTCATCCTGGTCCCAGAGACCAAAGGCAAGACGCTGGAGCAGATCGAAGCCATTTTCAGAGGGACGTCGGGTCCGTGACGGCGTGCCAAGCAGGGATGGACATCATCAACCTAAACAAACTGTTAAAGTGGGCATTAGAGAAAAAAAAGGAAGCTGATTTAAGCAGCTTCCATGTTTGCTTTTATAACCGTAACAAAAGATTTTAAGTGATTTATTAGTTTGTTTTATGAAAACTGTTTATTTTGTGCCATTGAGCTGAATTTTATCAGTGAGGTGCGACTAAACTGCCAACGATGATATTAATTAATCATTGGTTGGACTTTTTGACATGTTGAAAAATAACCTAATCCTTCATTGACTGACACCTGAGGGATACTTTGCTCTTCACTGCTCCCTGCTGGCCACAGAGCGTCCAGCGGGCCCAGCTTAGATCTAAAAATGTATGGAGGGAAATTTGATCCATTAATGTTGCAAAAGAAAAAGGCATTTTGTAAATTAAAAATCTAGAAAGTTTTAAAATGTTTAAATCAAAAACGGGTTTAAAGAGTCACTCTGCTGTTTTCTCAGATTTCTAGTTTTTATTTATTTTCTTAACATGTTTTACATGTTTACATTTTTTTTTTCTTTTTTTTTTCAGATTTAGTTTTATCAGTTGAATTCTTTTCAAACTGCATTTCCCAGATCACCTCTAGGGGGCGGGCTTTCCCCTGAGGCGAGGAGATGTTTCTATTGGTCAGATGAGCTTTAGCACATCTTTATTGGCTTAGAGTGAGGAGAATGTGATCTGGAAAACGAGGAATACAATTTATAAAAATATAGAAAACTGGAGAAATAAATTTTGAAACTATAAAAATCTGTAAAAAAAAAATAAGATAAATAAATAATGATTTGAAAAGACCACAATATATGAAAATCCAATCTGAAACAAAACAGAAAAATCTGCAAAAATTACATATGAGAAAAAGAGCAAAGTTACTCTTAAAACTTTTCAAAGTTTCTTTTCTGATTGCATATTTGTTTTTGTTTTCAAAACTTGCATTTTTTCCAAATTTTTGTATTTACAAAAGCTGTTCTTTGTTTGCAACAAGAAGGGAACTAAACTGACAGAAAAACACGTCTTCCTTAAACTACTATAGTGCTGCAAAAGTTTCACTGGGACAAAACCCCCCCAAAAAACAAATAGACATTTTTTTAAGTGTCTTAAATTAAAAAGATGCAGCTTCTGCCATAATTTATTCCTTATAAAAAGGTTCCAGATGTTGAGCGAGTTCTGCTGTCAGTTAAATTAAACCATCAGGACTTTATTAAGGGAAAAGTTGAGTCAGTATGAATAAGTTGTGGTAACTT